AGCATGCACACACATCCAGCATGTTTTTCAAGCTGCTGGGTCCAGGTCTTGAACCATATGGTTGGCCATGTGGGATTCAGATGCCTTAACCCCCACACCACTGGCCACCCCACTTCCTTCTCTTTGTTACTCAAGCTCCAACTGATCCTTCAACAATAGCTCAGGCATCACCTTCTCAACCCTTCACCTACCTGAGAGGTAGATTTTAGTCCTGTATAATCTAAGACCCCTACATTATATTGAAGTTCACCTCTTTTATCTCCTCTACCAGACTGCAAGCCCTTTCAGGGCAGAGACTGGGCTTTGGTCATCTTCATGTCCCCACTGCCCAACACAGTTCTTGGCACAGAGCAGGCCCTGAAGAAATGCTTGCCAAATGGTTATCAACCAGACCACTCACACCTCAGCCAACTCCTTACTCATGTCAGGCACTATACTCTGTTCTTTAAAGCAGTCACTGTATCTTGGCACCACTTTCTTTTTCTTTTTTTAATTTTTTTTGGACAGGTTTTTGCTATAGGGCACATGCACTCACCAAAAAGAGAGAGACAGAGAGATAGAAAGCGAGAAATCACCCCCCAGGGGGATGGCCATGCCACAATCCCTTCTCCTCCATTCTCCTCTCGGGATCTTGGGCATGTACGTACATGGACCTGGTCTGAGTTTAAGACACCGGATCTGGGACTCAACCGACGGTCGATTATGCTAACTGCTGGTCCCTCAGCACTTTCTTTAATGAGCCTCATTTTAAGAGTAGTCTGGAGCTCAGAGAAGACAAGTGACTTATCCAAAGCCACACACCCAACAAACAGCAGGCCTGGCCTTGAACAGAGGTATGGGGTCTTTTCCAGAATACTATGCTGCAGCCACTCTCTATCCATTCACCCAGTAATCTTTTATTTTTTTTTTCACTTTCTTAAACTATCAATATTTTCTATTTATTTTTATTATAATTCATTTTAAATGTTTCAAAATAGTACAAAAGGGAATACAGTTTAGTGAAGAGTAAGTGTCCCTTCCACCTTTGACCCTCAGCCTGGTTAACAGTTTCTTACATAGCCTTGCAGAAGTAGTTTAGGCTTATGCAATACCAAATATTCTTTAGGCTTATTTTACCTCCCTATTGCCTGCCTCTCAAGAAACAGGCCATGCAGCCTGGAGGAGAGTCCCCTGCCACTCCTAGTCTCTTTCCCATACCACACTATCCCTTTTTCCAAACCCTTCCTGAGGCTGCTAGGGTGGGTGCCTTCTCCCTATCTCCTTCCTTTCCAGCCCCAGGGCCTGCGTGAACCAGGAAAAGAGCTATAACAGGCACTGTTACATTCTTCTCTAGGTGTAAGAGTGAGGTGGTCTCAGGCCTGAAAATAGTCCCCACTGCCCACTCACCCCCATGACTCGGTTCCGCACATTGAAGAATCGGCTCTGTCGCTCCTTTTCTCGATTTCTTCTAGCCTCAATGGCTGCCATCTCTTTGAGATCTGATGGCAGTCCTATGTTATACATCTGGAACAAGAGGGAGGTGGAGTGGCCCATCAGTGCTGAACATCATCCTTGACTATATCTCCACCTCCATCCTTTCTCTTTACAATATCTCACCTGTTATTGATTTGTATTGGTTTTACTTCTTAATGTATCTTTTTATTAATGTTCTAAAATTAAATCTCTTAATAGAGAGAGACAGAGACAGACAAAGTGAGAAAGTACCTCCATGAAGACTGGTCATGCCACAGTCCCTTGTCCTCTCTCTCTCCCTTTGGCACTTTGGATACACATGCATGCATGCCTGGTGTGCTTCTCAAGCCACCGGATCCAGGACTCAAACCATGCAATTGGCCCTCTGGGATCCAGTCACCTGAATCACCATGCCATGGGCTGGTCCATTCCTGATATATTTCTCATACATGTCCTCTATCTCTGCTGTCACCACCCTAATTTAGGCATCACAATCTAGTGTCAGGCAATATTCCCAGGAGCCCCATTGCTCTCCCCACTTGCTCCAGTGTTGCCCTCTACACACTGGCTATCAGAGTCAGTATTTTTTTTTTAAATTGCCAAAAGATGTGTGCACTCACCAGTGAGAGAGAAAGAGAGAGAGAGAGAGAGAGTGAGTAGAGGGAGAGAGAAAGTGCCCCCTAATGGGGTGTTGAGGTGTTGTCATGCTGCAACTCCTCTAGTTCTCCATCTCATCAGGGCCCAACGTGATTTTCAAGCTGCCAGGGCCAGGATTTGAATCAAGTGGTTGGCGATTGTGAGATCTGGCTCCCTTAACTGCTAGGATATAGGGCTGGCCCTTTTTATTTCTTCCACAAGTGACAAAGATACAGAGAGAGAGAAAGAGAAATATAGAGCTATAGCTCCCTCACCAGGGTCCCAACATGGTGATCTATCCCTAGTCAACCAGGACGATTGGGAAAAGCAGCCCCACATATTCAGGTAGATCCCCAGACACAAACTGGTAACCTTCCAATGTGGGTCTGCCTTGCAGAACAGTCAGGTTTTACTGTTGTGTCATCATCTGGCCCCAAACTTTAATTTTTAAAGAAACACTCTAGCTGCTGTGTTAAAAACATCCTGTGGGGGATACAGTAGGCCACTTGCTGCTAGAAGGCTATGCAGCAGAAACCTGTGGCTCATCACCTTCCCCATCGAGAAGTTGCTTGGGACTTTGAGAAGACTGTGTACTCCTCCCTGCCCCATATGGACATCAGGTCCAGTGCCAGGAGACTGAGCTGCAAAGAGACTGTGGCTTATCTCCTGCCACACAAACTCTGAATTCTAAGACTTCAGTGTTTTCTAAAGGGTGCAGGTAGATCCCTTCTATGTTTCCAAATTAAAATTCAGCAGCTCAGTATTAGGCACACCTGTTCTCTAGAAATGGGAGGACTTTGAATCATCCAAGACCAGCAACAACAGTGCAGGTTGCTGGTCAGTATCAGGGAAGTAGAGCAGCAGAGAGAGCACCTATCACCTAGTCCCACATGTCTTTGAAAGTTCAAAATTAACTCAAAGAATTTAGGAAGAAATGTATAAATCACTGGATGACTAGAAACCATCACAGAGGTACAAGAAATATGATCAACCATAAAATCTCTCTCCCCCAAGGGAAAACATCAATTCCTCATCATCCACAGACAACACAATGAAACTCATGGAAATGTCAGATAAACAATTCAGAATATTTATAGTGACAAAACTAAATGATATGCAAGAGGAAAGAGACAACAGGCTCCAGGAGAAGAGGAAATCTTTTCATGATTTGAAAGAAGAAATACACAAGATAAAAAAAAATTCAAACAGAATTGTTAGAGATGAAGAGTATAATACAAGAACTTAAAATGTCCTTAAAAATTATTAAAAGCAGTGGGGCCTACTGCCAGGTGGTGTGGTTGTTAAAAAGCGCTGGACTCCCACATGGCCGACCGTGGTTCAAGTCCTGGACCTGGCAGCTTGCGTTCCCCCCAACCCCTCTCACTCTTTCTCTCTCTGGTTAAATTAAATTAAATTAAAGTAAAAAAGTAGTGGGGCCAGCAGGTGGCATAGTGGGTAAGGGCACTGGACTACCACATGGCTAATCACGGTTCAAGTCCCAGACGTCATGGCTTCCTTTCTCACTTTCCCTCTCTCTCTTTCTCTCACTCTGTCCTTCTCTGGTCAAATTAAAATAAATACATAAATAAATAAAGTTAAATAAAATAATAAAGAAAAAAGAAAACTAAAAAAAGTATTAAAAGCAGATCAGATCATGCAGAAGATTGAATACCAAATGTAGAAGACAAAACCTCTGACCTAAAAAAAAAAGATCAAACACACAGAAAATGACTAAGAAAAATGAGGACAATATATGTGAAATATTAGATACCATTAAGTTCCCAGACATCTTGATAATTGATTTCCCAGAAGGTGAAGAAAATAATAAGAACATTGCTAATTTATTCCATGAAATCCTGGGGAAAAACTTTCCAAACCTAGAGAGGTATTCAAAGAGCCAGACCCAAAAACTACAAAGGACCCCAAATAGATTCAACCCAAGAAGATCTTCTCCAAAGCACATCATAGCCAGATTGGCCAAAACCACAAAGAGAAGATACTAAAATTGGGAAGAGGGAAACGTCAAGTTACTTACAAAGGTTATCCCATCAGATTAACATTGGACCTCCTATCAGAAACAATGCAGATAAAGAAAGAATGGGGAAATATAGTAAAAAGTATTAAATGAGAAAAAATTTCAACCAAGATTACTATACTCGGCAAGATTATCCTTCATATGGGGAAAAAAAAGATAAAAACATTCTCAAACAAAACCTGAAAGAATTTACCAAATCCGGACCAGCTCTTTTATTTATTTATTTGGAGAGGTTTTTGCTATAGGG